AAAATATTAAGGAAAGATAATATAAAAATAATAAAGAAATATGAACTTTACTAATCCCATAAATACAGTCTATTTTCAGGAATGACTGTTATTGCAAACTTCTTCTTAATGATTACTTGGCTGCCGGCATGTGTCGTTGTGTCGGAACGATTCAAACTAGGCGTTTTATCTCCTGCAAGTTTTATAACACGAAAAATTATTCGACCTTTACGATTATTTGGAGATAAAATGACGATAGGTTTTAATACTATCCTTACAAGGGTAGTTATAAATTTTCGATGGTGCTGGTCGTTAAGTTTAGGTGTTATAGCAATAGCATGTTGCATCATTGTTTTTCAATACCCTGGCTTACAGTTGCCGGATACTGCTGATTTTCAATTATTTGATAGTTCTCATCCATTTGAAAAATATGATTTAGTATATTCGCGAAAATTTTGGTTTGAAAAACATGGGATGGTATGTACAGAAAATTACAAAGTTTCTTTTAATGTATCTCTCACAAAAATTTTGAATAATTAATAATTGCAGATTGATAATGAAGATGCGTTACCATTAAGATTTGTATGGGGTATTAAACCAGTTGATAATGGCAATTATTTAGATCCTAGTTTAATTGGTACACCAGAATGGGATGAATCTTTTGATGTATCTCATCCAGAATCACAAGTATGGCTTGAAAAATTTTGCCGCGATTTACGAGCTCAACCTTTCTATCGCGATACATTAGGACCTTTATTACCCAACTGTTTTATTGAATCATTACATCATTGGATGCAAAGACGTTGTGAAGATCCCATTGATTCACATATTAATTATACACCGTGTTGTAAAAAAAGTGAATTTCCATATAATGCTAGCACTTTACAACGATGTGCGGTTGAAGCAAATGCAAAATTATATAGCACCCCATCGTATTTGTGGGTTCGTAATGGTGTTTCTGCTGGTTTAAAATTTTTGAATGAACCAAATCTTAAACAATTACAAGTATCAAATGAAACAAATTCTATAATAATGCCAACGCCTAAAATTAAAGCTCTAGTCGTCGAGTATGACAGCATATATAATTATAGCCTTTCATTTGCAAATATGGATCAGTTTTTTCATCAGGTAAAATAAAATCGTATTTCAGTTGTAAAAAAAGTGAATTTCCATATAATGCTAGCACTTTACAACGATGTGCGGTTGAAGCAAATGCAAAATTATATAGCACCCCATCGTATTTGTGGGTTCGTAATGGTGTTTCTGCTGGTTTAAAATTTTTGAATGAACCAAATCTTAAACAATTACAAGTATCAAATGAAACAAATTCTATAATAATGCCAACGCCTAAAATTAAAGCTCTAGTCGTCGAGTATGACAGCATATATAATTATAGCCTTTCATTTGCAAATATGGATCAGTTTTTTCATCAGGTAAAATAAAATCGTATTATATATATATATATATATATATATATATATATATATATATATGTCGAGTCATGATCCGAGTCACGATCCGAGTCCGGGCTTGAGTCGCTATCGCGGCAAGGGCTTGGGGTAGGTAATGATTCGTCACTGAAGTTATCCATCTTCGTACAGCACGGAAGTGCCTTTGTGCTGTGTAAGTGCCTCAACATTTGGTATTCATTGTCCGAAGGAACCGTTGGCATGTTTTACTGTCAGGTATTTACTGTCAGGTACCTCTATGGATATTTCCTTTAATGAGGGTCATAACATCACTCCACACCTTTGTTAGACGAAGCGCTCGTCCCGTTGACCGCGGCTACGTTGGGCGACAGACTGTCGCCCCGAGCCAAAGCTCACTGTCACTAATCCCGGACAATTACAATCGGCTTGGGTGACTACGGTTGTTTAATTACAGCTATAGTAGACTAGCTTAGACTAGTAGACTAGATAGACTAGTAGTCTAGATTACAATGTCGGGGGGTTATCCTGAAGTTCCAATGGGCGGCTCCGACGTCCTTTCGTCTCCGACATATATATATATATATATTTTTTTTTTTTTAATATTTCATATTTTTGGAAGCAATCATAATGCTTAGTTATTGATAAAACATTAATAAAAATTGTATTTTTTACAGGTTGAAACATGGATGCAAAATCAATTAAAAAAAGCTCCGTTAGGAATGCGCGGTGGTTGGTTCGTTAGTAGATTAGAATTTTATGAATTACAGAGAACATTGTACGAAGGAACGCTTTGGGCAATGGGTGTTTCATTGGTTCTAGCTCTCATAGTGTTAGCTTTAGTAACATTTAATCCTCTTATCAGTTTATATGCAATTGTAACAATTGGAGCAGCAATTGTAGTAACAATTGCTGGTTTGATTCTTCTTGGTTGGAAATTAAATGTCCTAGAAAGTGTCGCAATATCTACAGCAATAGGTATTTTTTAATAATAGGTAATTTTAATCTTCATAATGTACATAACTGAACATATATTATTTTTAGGTTTGACTGTAGATTTTAGTCTACATTATGTAGTAAGTTACAGAGCATGTACTTCTAAAGAGAAAGAAGATAAAGTAAAAACGGCTCTTGCACAGATGGCTGGTCCAACTTTAATGGCTTCTCTCACAAGCGGTGCGGCTGGTGTTCTTATGTTACCTTCGTGTGTATTAGCATATATACAAATTGGAATCTTTTTGTTCCTTGTAATGAGTATAAGTTGGATATATGCTACATTTTTTTTATGTTCGGTATTAGCTGTAATAGGTCCATCGTCTCAGTTTGCTCAGTATCAACATCCCAGGTAAATAACGCGTAGTTGTAATTTAGCAAGTATCAGTTTAAAATGTTTATATAATTTAACATTTCAAATTCATGCAGATTAAATCTATTATGGAAATATCTTCGCAAGAACAAGTCTGGAGATGTGCCTGAATCAAGTACAGATAATAGTGGAGCTAGAAGAAAGATTAAAGGAAGAGGAATGTGGTCAGAGTCTACTTTAAGTACATCTAGTACGGTATGTCAATTCCACTGTAATGAAATAGAAACTTTCACAAGACCACCGCCATCACCATCGCTACCTCCATCACCATCATCGGCATTACTTCAGTAAGATGAAGATTAAGTGATAAGATGGGCATATTTTAGACAAAAGGGGAAAAAATAATTACGATATGATATATACACTTCCGGATTTTAAACCGATGAATTTACTTGTTCATGTATAACTTATGTCCTATATAATCTATGATAATGTGTGTGACTAATGTGTCATTGGCTGTGTTCAAAATAGTTTTAGGATAATTATTTGTATATTTGCCTATCATTAACATTCAGTGGGCTTCCTATCAGTTACGCAAGAATATGCATATTGTATACATTGTGATATGAGTCAGGCTTTATGTGCCAAATATATCGCAGACTGTTTTATATTTTACGATCTATTTTAGTTTCGGTTTTTAAACAATTTTGAAATTGCTCTATATTCATAGATGTAGCTTTAATGTAATTGTTACGTCCGGTGACACTTTGCGTACCGCAATAATCCTAGGATTATTCCTTGCGGTCCGACTAATTCTATCGAACGCCCCGATCGAGGGATAGATTCTGGACTACGCAGAGTCACCGGACGTAACAGTAACTGATGATACTGATAGATTATCGTACTGTTAGACTTGCATTTACATATCTATGAATGCATTTAAACTTTAACTTTTTTATTAAAACTTTTCTATTATGCGTTTATATTTAATTTGACATAGATATAGATATCTTTTACATTTGAGTATTAATAGGTTTAGTTACCTTTTTTGATAACATTAAATTTATATATTACAAAATAATTTTTTAAAATAAATAGACTTTAATTCTACGAATAATTTAATATGTTAGTTATTATACCAGTTTAAGGGAAAGAAATAAAAAATGTTATTTCCGATATAGGTTTGTAAAATTCATAACAAAGTTTACATATAGAGACTGTTTAGTTTTCGAATAAAATATTACAATAAATTTAACGGAATGAATGAATTTATTATATATTAAAAAATAACGAGGTATCAATTCAGCTGTTTTACTGAATAATGCTTTCGACCTCATAAAAAGATGTGTATATCTGCAATTAAATTTAAGAAAAAGTAACGAAATGTGGCATAGATATCACACATGATTTTGTTTCAAAATTATCTATATTTATAAACTGTATAAAGTATATACTAAAAAAAACAAAAGAAAAAAAGACTGATGGGTTTTTATGATTTTTATCAGTAGATATTATTGAATATATAAGACAACATTTAAAACAACTTTTCTTTTCAGAAGCATTTATCTAGAAATATCTTTTGAGCTGTCATGTAGTACAGCTAGTACTACGTATAGCAGCAATATTTAATATTAAATGAATATTCATTATGTTTTTCGATAGCTTGATTAATTATTTTTATTAAGTTTGTAATATTGCATATTATTGCATGTAACAGAAAATGAAGTTCATCACCTTATACACATTTCGTTATTTTAAAAAGGAAGCTACGAATTGACAGTTTATGTAGTGCAACATCATGCCTTCGAAAACATAAGAATTTATGCTCTTAAAAACATTCATTTTTGTAATTACTGTATATGTGTTTATCAATTATTTAAATATTTGTAACTATCGTATGTTAGAAATATATATCGATATTAATCTAGAATGCACACTGGCAATCTTTCATCATATATCTACAATATATATATACTATATGGATATCTATGTTACAATATATTAGAGTGAGCTTGTTATGTATGTTAAATATTTCATGTTAATATTTATCCAGCATAAGCTGTGGTAAATATAAATTATAAAAAATTACATCTAAGTTTCACTATATCATATCTACATCCACAAAAACTTTTTTCTAGTATTTTAACTAACAATTATTTAGCATTTACAAGTATATTCCGAATAATTGTTATGTTTTATAAGAAATGTGTTGGACCGTTCGCGGAGAGACGCGATCGCGAGGAAGCGCTCCAACGAGAGTCGTAAATTTCCGTTACGATTATACGATCGACGCCACGAAATGATCGATCCCCTATTTCGTTTAGGTCAATAGAGGTGACTAGCGATGTTGACCGAGTTAAAAATGTAAAGCCAGTGAAAAAATGTTGACTGATCTGATGATGAGAAACCAGAGAAGTTCGGTGACGATGCTGTCGCAGAGGAGAACTCTTGTTGGGTGGTGATCGCCTCACCACTGGTCGCTTGCGGATGGAAATCTATTATGGGAAAACGTTTCCCCCTTTTTACCTGATGAGACAATAACCATAAGGAAATGCTTTGTTATACTACAGTTTCTTAGGATTATTACGGTCCGAGGGATGGAATTCAGCCCGTATTCAGGGACCTAACAAATGTTATTTTGAGAAATTAGAGATACAGATCTAAGAAAATTGCCTTTACTGACAAAATTTATAGAGTCAAAATGTATATGAATGTGCTACTATATTACTAGGTGTAATATCAAGTATTATTAATTTACATCATTATATAAATATATTTATTTGGAAAGAAGGAAGTAAAAAGAAAAATATCTAATTCAAACGTAATTACTAATGTACTGATACGAATGAGATACAGAATCTTTTACAATGTGCCATACTATTCCCGAGATATATATATATATTTTAAATATTTATATGCGGCGACGACGTTTCAATACTATCGGACTTACAGGATCGGTTAAAGGTCGTTTTTTAATTTGCGGTAAACCAATTTTATATTTGTGAATTGGTTGAGCTTTATGAACCATTTGTCTTCTTAGTAATGCAATTTCTTCCTCCTCTTGCTTTTTCTTAGCAGCAATTGCCTATTATATATATATATATATATATATATTTCTTAGGATATATACTATAATATTGAAAACAGAATATTATTTAATTACAAAATTACAGAATATTATTACCATTTGTATCATTTGTTCTTTTTGTTTGTTTTTCTCCTGCATATTTTCGTCAAAGCGTTTTCTTTCTTGCGCTCGAGTCGCTGTACGTAAAGGTGGAGATTTTGGTGGTGGTAATTTCTGTTTTGACAAATATGGTACAAATGGTGGTTTCTTCCACAGCTGGTTTATTTTAAAAGCAGAAAAATATATTTATCATTCGTTAATGCGAAGTGTGATGTTGTTTATACTTACGTCGGTACTCCTCTTCATTTTCTTATTGCAATTATTTGATTTGTCTACCCCCTTCGCTTTGTTCTCATCTTTCAATATCTAAGAATAATACAAAAGTATATATTCTTTTAATAGCCTGTAAGATTAAAGGGTGTGATTTTCATACCTTTTTAATATTTTCTTGTTTTCCCTCTTGCGTATTTTTTTTTTGCAAATTAAAAGCGAAGGGGTATACGACCCCGATTCTCTGCATCATTCTTGCTTTATTACATGCTTTGACGTTAGCTTTAGGCTCCTAAAATGTTAACCTCGATCTTTTACAGATCAATCATAATAATGACAATATCAGCTATGTAAATTGACATACCAGTTTGCTAGCATTATGAACCACATAGTTTTCTTTCTCTTTTTGCCCCTGACAATCATCACGATTTACGTATGTTCTTTCATGATTATCAAATGTTATATCGGATAAATAAAAATTGCTTAGAGATCTAAAAAATATTAAGTGACATTTTTTATTATCAGATGAGAAGAAAATAACTTAAATCTGATTTAAAGAAATTCACAATTGTAACCCTTACGCAGTCAACGTTTCATCGTCTACTACCATATTCGGATGTTTTGTGTTTGTATGACCCTGATTTGGCGTGCTTGTAGTTACAATTGCTTTGTCTGAAAATAATAAAGAGGAATGGACACCAGGATTCAAGAATTGTCCGATCTTTATAATTTTTATTTACTGAAAAACGAATCTCCTATATCCGATGGATTAAAAAAATCCACAAATTGCGGAGATTCAATCTCGTCCCAATTGTGATCTTTTGTCGAATTTCTATATTTTCTCCAACAATGTCCAGATCGGTGGTTCGAATTGGTGTCATCAGTTTTCGGTTTTACGTTCTCCTGCCAAAATATCCAGAATGGTATTTTCGAATCATTCTTTGTGGCTCCTACCGGTGTTAATGTTTGTTCGAATGTTGCGTCCATTATTATCGAGTATGCCCGTATTATTCTTAATTCTAAAAGAATCCGTTACAAAATGAACTTTGTCAATAAGGGTCAACAATTATCGGTTTCGAAAATTCGATGTAAATGCTTCACTACCCGGCGAAGAATTCATTGAAAACATGCTTCATCTCGAAATCCGCTTTATATATACAAACTATATAAAGGTCAAACTGGATTTAATCTTCGAAGGAAAGGAAACACGCGACAATAACAATGCTTTAAATAGAATCTACCTGAAAACATAGAATAGGAACGTTACCTGAAAACATAAAGTAAGAAACCGAATTTTACGATCGTCTCATCGATCTAATCTATCATAAAGATAATCTAGGTTTACCTTATATCGATACCTTATATTGATTAAAATTCTACAATATCTGTTATATAAATTACTTCTCATTCATTACGATGTAATATTAAATGAGACGAGTTGCGCGCGATCATTGATATTCTGTGCACGTGAACATTTCTATGGATACAAATGTTCACAACAAAGCGCGATTCATTGGTATTGTTTCATTGTTTAGCGAGTTTTCTAAACAGATTTTCCGATATGATCGATCTCTCCTCCATTCGAAAATTACAATTGCCACGGTGTTCGTTTAGATTAATTCGAAGAAAGAATTCTTTTAGCTCAAGAGGACTCATCGGCGTATTAATAACGACATGACGATCTATCTATTATACGCTGCGCTATACTGCTACTGTACATAGAATGCGTATGGGTAAACGTTTAGACAGACATACTAATAATGCATTTTGATTGAAGATAACGGTTTGTCGTAAACATTAAAAAAAAAGGGATTCTCGAACATGCACGGTTTACGGTAAGAAAAAATGATTCTCTCTTTCAATCCTTTCTATTCGTCGTTAACTTAATCGCGATTAAACGTGATAGGTACATTCGTCTTTTTATTATTTCGTGCAATTTTTAGAGCTGGACATAACATTGGTGATCTTGGTACCAGTCGATGGTTGGAAGCGCTTTGGGAACCAGCAACCCGATTATACACTTTACCAAATGCGCTCGATATGTTAGACGTAAGCGGTGATGGAGATGCTAGACTCGTCTGCGTCGATCTAGGGACCCTCGGCGTCAATTCGCCTAAAGTAATGAAATAGAATTTTCAAAGCTAAAAAAATATCGGAATTACGTTCCTCGATGTTCTAATATTTTATCTTTAGATAAGAGTTTATAAAGGAGGTGACCAGATAACAGAACACAACATGATAGATCCACCCTGTGGAGTGGTTGGATTTTACACAGAAAATGGAGAACCTCGATCGTCCGTACTGGCGGTGGGTGTTGGTTCTAGCGTCTACATCTTCAAAAACATGAGACCGTATTTTAAGTACTGTTTGCCACACATTGACGTACACCCGAAGGAACGGGAGGTACAGGCAATTCTCTGATTTCTTAGTGACCAATGCGTCTCTGATTTTCAAAGTTGAAACAATAAATTTATTCGTAGATTTGGCATAAGGCTGGAATGGACGAGGAATTGAACGTGTTAACACTGGCCGACGAACTGGATTTATTGTTAAAGGAACTCGGAGCGGGATTTATCTCACCGCGAACGTTAAAATTCCTATCCATGGATCCGAATTTGAGGTCTAGCTTCGCGGAACAATACAGAAGAGTTCCACTGATTAAAAGTAATGCTTTGACCGCGATTTCTGTGATTCGAAGAGACTCGTGGAACGATCCAGCGAGTAGTTGTCTCGTGCTGGGCACGGAATTCGGAGAAGTACTTATTTTGGATCCTCGGTACAACTTCCCTTTAAAAACGATTCTTATATGAATAATGAAAAATTATCAAATTAAACGCTCCTCGCGATTCTTTCGTTGTAGAACATTTTCTGTTATGGATAAACATTTGTTGGAATGGCCGCCGGTCGCTTTCGCGTGTACAGGTTTATGGACCGGCGATGGGAGTGTAGTAATCGTTGGAAGAGATGGTAAGATAGGCGCGATAAGAAGAGGAAGACCCGTGAAACTTTGGGAAAAATTAGCATCGCCGGCTGTAGCCATTTCAGCCCTTAATAACGGAAGCGTCGCGGTTACCATCATGGATAGCACTTTGATCGGCTTCTCTAGGAAGGTATGTAGAATATTTTTACTTCAGCCATGTATATCTTTACTCGAATCGTTACAAATAATAATAAATTATTGATACAGGGAATTAAAATTTGGCATGTTCGTGTTCCGGGTGCGATTTTGGATTCGGTGAGTTTACCAGTTCCGCAAATTGGCCTTTCTTTGCTCGCTGTGAGTACCGCTGGTTATGGCATCCGCGTGTACGACGGGAAACATCACGTGGACACGTTAAAAATCATGGAACCAGTTTCTGCGATGAAGGTAATTTACGAATAATTATTATTCCAAATTGAATGCTAATAAGATAGAAATATTGTGCATTGTCTTTTGGAAACAGTACGGTAAAATGGGTCAAGAAGAACGAACGATGGCGATGGTCACCGTGGGAGGTGGACTGTGTGTAAAAATTCTAAAACGGACTGCGGACTTCAATATTCACAACGCGATATCCAATTTACCGTCAACTGATAGCACCAAATTTTTAGTACCGAAGAAAACGCGATTGTTCGTTGAGCAAACGATACGAGAAAGGTCAGAAGCGAAGAAGATTCATTCTACTTTTCAGCAAGGTCTTCTTCGACTGAGATTGATGGTAGCCAAAAAATTAGTCGAATCTTTGAACGATAGTCAAGTCGCGGGACCACATCTGCTTACCATGGAAGCTACCGTTTTGGGATTGGGACCCAATTATCAGATTCGTATTTTATTGACGAACATATCCGACCAATTGTCCGATACGGACCTGTACATCGTTTGCAGAAGCGAAAACACGGAAGTGAAACCACGAGTGATGGACGTACCTTTGTTACCAAACGCCATTTCCATTCCTATGATGATCAATGCGATTTTGAAGAGTAACATTTCCGGAAGGATAGAGATTTTGTTGTGTAAGAAATCGAAAACGAAACCAGTAACCGTGACCACGGTAGTTTTACCTGCTGCCGAAGAAGATATCGAAGTTTAATCTTCTAGAAAGTAGAAGTCTATGAAAAGATATTTTTTATGTGCTTTGTATAAAAATGTTCATATATTACGTTGTAGTATTATAATATATCGTTGTGTAAATATTGATTGGGAAATGTTGAAGAAAATTTTGTAACTGTATTATAAAAAGCCAAGAAAATGTTGCGCTAAGGATATTTGCTTCATTTTCTTTCTATCCTCTTGTTATCGTAATTATATTTTTGTCCATCTCATTTGTGTATTTTATATGTTGTTATTCCTCTCATTACATATTTCATCTGTGCTAAGATGAATACAACGTTTCTTCGAAATGTTTAAAATATCGTGGTGTTGGTGAGTCATCGGTGTATTGCCTGTGCAAACGTAATTAGTCGGACCGTAATAATCCTAAGGAACTGTCATAAACCTCAGCTTTTCTATTTTACAATTAAGGCCGTTAATTCAGTCATCTGTTTGACTTATATCTATACGTACCGTGCGTAACTATCTTGTCTACAAGTTATTGGAATAAAGTGCATTGTAATCTGTTATTCTCAGTGTTATGATCAATTCAACCACCTGTATTATCCTAATCGAAATAAGGGATCGATCATTTCGTGGCGTCGATTCTATAATCGTAACGGGAATTTACGATTCTCTTTGGCGCGCTTCCTCGCGATCGCGTCTCTTCGCGAACGGTCGAACACATGGTATTTTCGTTAGACCGCCACAAAGGTCACTATCGCTCTGTTGCGCCAGCGCAGCTCCGCGTTCGTCGTCTCCATCGCTTTCCAAGCAACACCGTCCGCGCAAGCAGCTTCTGCTGTCAGACGAGGACAAGGAGTAAACGTTATCTCCGGGCGACTGCGCTAGGCAGTTACTATGGCGCTCATCTCGAGTACAGTTGTCTCACGTGCGCGCTTCACGGAAGTTTTTAACACCGACGAAACTAAAGTATTCATGCACTCTTAAGCATTGTAGTAGTATCACAAATTGTTGTGAATAAACGTTTTCAATAAAACCAAGTTAGCATTCGTTTATGAGTTTACAGCTTGTATTCATTCCACCCTTTGCTATTTATATGTCGTCCACTACAGCTGATCGAAGGAAACCCATATAGACTAAACACGCAAACATTGCGGGCTAGCTAGTCGCGGTGATTTATCGTCTGTGCAAAATGTACAGTCAACGCAGGAATGGGAAAATGATCGATAATTAATAAGAAGTGGATGGAAACATCCGATCGAAAAAAAATTTTCATCTTTCTATGATGTCAAGAAATATTATCATGCTTCCGATATGTTATATTCCAAGGCGATATCTCGTGATTCTTCAATTTCACGTCTTTTTAATCTTATTACTTTTTCCAGGTAAATTTGAAAACAGATCTTTTCGTTTACAAAATTGATAATTTTGTTCCTATCTTTTATTTTTTAACGACTTATATCTTTTAACAGTTTATATTCCAAGATGATACTACACTCTTTTTTTTTAAATAACGTTTACTTAAGCATGGAGAATGTTATAATTTTCATCTTTATGAAATGTATTTTATGTAAATAAATTTATATTTAACTTAGAACGTGCAAATAATTTATATTGACAGCTAAAGAATGTACTATGCCGGAAGCAAGTCAGGAAGGATTACTACATTCGTTCAAAAGTTATTCGGATATAGCCATGTTTCATTATACGGTTCCAAAAGAGGTGCTTAGAGCTACTTGGCAGTTTGCGGCATTTATGGATGGGCAAGATTGCCCAGAGAGAAAAGTACATATGTAAATATTTGTTTTTGCTATCATGAACGTATAGGTATTCGTAATATGATATTTACTTTTACTATTATGATTTTCAGATACCTGCAATGGGGCAGTTACCCTGTGATATCTATAAATAATGATACATTTCCTAATGATATGTATCATGAGCGTAATCATACCATTAGAGTTTCTGCAATTACAACATTTGAGCCAAAAACCACTGCGATTGTACCAGTTTATGGACCAGAAGCTGGAGATTGGTTTATTGGAGCATATTTGTCCCACTGGGATGAAAAGGTTCAACAGCAGGTATATCTTGATTTTATCTATCTTCCAATGTTGTATTGTTTTATATTAATTCTAAAGTTTTATATACTTTAGGGACTTGGCCATAAATGCCACTATAGTATAGGTTCTGTAGCTGTATGGACACAAATCAATAGTATTGAAAATATTCCTATTGGTTACCAACAAACATTAAGAACAAAAGAATCTATTTCTTACTACAAGTAAAGGGTATAACTATCATATCCAAACCATTATAGAAATTGAGAATTACTAATATATTGTATTCTTATTTAGGATATATGTCCCGTCAGGAACATGGAATTTTCGTGTAGATATTTGGGGTTGCAATTTTACTGTGCATAAATCTCGTAATGTACATGAACTTTGTATTAAAAATATGGCACTAAAAGGGCGTTCTTTGCCCGTTTTCAATCACTCTCAATCGTTTGAAACTGGAAACTTAACTATGCTGGGTTCATATACCTTTACAGAATCTTCCCCTTACGAAGATAGTTATTATTATTTAATGATTATTTCGGATAGTATTATTGAAGTAAACGTGAAGGTAGTCGCTTCAGGTAAATTTACATTACTTGTGACTTTGTTTAGTTAACAGTTAATGTTAAACTTATAAATTATTTCTGCTCTATCTTATTCTTTTCAGAATGTCCGATTAGAATAACAGAAAAATCTTTTGTAAGACAATATTTGGACGCACCTTTATTTTCTAAAGCATTAGCTAAATTGCGCATGAAAGATTTAACAAAACTTCATTCACATCATGGTGAAGATAAATATAATGAATCATTTTATAATGGAGATATTATGAAAAATCAATTTCGTATATCGGATGAATATTTTGATGATCTATGTTTCCCAAGATATCAGCTTACTAGAATCAAGCACTCGCAAATATTTTCAGGGGTCTATTTACTACAGGTATCGAGCATTTCATGAATATAAATATAACAAATAAATATGAAATATATTAATTATTAAATGTGTTTGTGTAAAAAACTGATTTTCAGAGTAGAGAATGGTTAACTTCTTGGGTAATGTTGACTGATGTGCATCCAGTAATAACGCAGTTTGATATTTTGCCGTTAATTGATATTGGTGGTACGCTTGATATAAGTGCTCATTTGGAAATGGATAAAGTAAGCAATAATTACTGAAACTCTTGTATATAATTTCATAAACTATTCAATCTGTTATATATATCTTTCAGATAGCAACAAAGCAATTAGTTAAAGTTACACTTTGCGTTCAGCGTGGGCGAATTCCAGATAGAATTAAAAATAATATTATATGTGAAAATTCCGAAATGTCAATGATCTTGTCTTCGTTTGATAGACATGATGGAACACTATTGATTCCATATCCACAACCAGACACTTGGTATGTTAGTTTAGATACAACGTGCTATTTTAATGGGTAAGATCATATTTTTGGAAATATAAATAGAAAATATTAAAATTAAAATCAAACTACAATTACAAAATGATATTATCCATTAAATAGAAAACCTGTAAATTGTGAAATGGAAGTAACGTTAGTATCATTGGATATACAAACTAGGCAATGTGTATTTGCTGGTAATTATCCATGTGGTCATCACGGAATTTGTCAAGAAGTTCATCGTGATATTCTTTATTACACAACATGCAAATGTTTTGAAGGTTTGATTACTAGTTAGAATAACTACTATTTATAATTTATGCATATAATTCTTTCTATTATACCGATATATATTTTATTACACAGGATACAAAGGATGGGGCTGCACTGATGCTACTAGCGCCAATCCAGAATCTTCTCTTCTTATAACAACATTGATACTAACTTTGAGTAATGGTTTCTTCATACCTGCTATATATTTAGCTGTTAAGCGCGGATTATATACTGAGGGATTAGTCTATTTGGCAACTATGCTTTTTTCATCTCTGTACCATGCTTGTGATCAACATGTTATGACTTATTGCGTTGCTAAATATGAAGTACGTAAATTGTTTCATAATAATTGTATCATATCTTTTCTCTTATAAATAGTTTTATTAAATTTATTTCAGGTTTTGCAATACAGTGACTTTTTTTCAAGTATATTAGCATTTTGGGTAACACTTATTGCAATGGCTGAAATACCGATTCGTTTTGTATCATTATGTCATATGTTTGGAGTTCTTATTATAGCTTTTGGTGTTGAATCCAATAAAACAAGTTTAACTAGCATATTAGTACCATTAGGAATGGGCATTATGATCCCAGTAAGTAATTTAGAAGAAACATTTATAACAGCGTTATTTCTTTTGTTTCTCATATATTTCCAGATGGGGACATATGCTTATCGTTGTTTTCACTTGGGAAGGCTGAAGAAGCCTGAGAGGATCTCAAAGTTATTAGCAGGATTAACACTAGCTATTGTAGGTTTATTGCTCTTTTCTTTAGTCGAGACAGAAGCCAATTATCAGGTACGTGCATTATAAATTAATATATATATATAACAAAGGTGAAAAATTGTCTCTATTATTATAAAAAGTATTTGTATTTTCTTTGTAGTATGTTCATAGTGCATGGCATATGATAATAGCGATCTCATTGATATTTCTTTTACCACCATCGCGGTTAGAACAAATTGGTTCTTCGGGTACCAGCTCGTTTAGCGACGATAGTGAATTACTTGATTATAAGGACACACCAGGTAGTCCAATTTTTACGGTAAGGAGTGGTCAGTAAAATCTGGTAATTGCATCAAATTGAAACTGCAGTAAAAATAGGTAGGGTAAAAACAAACCAAATACGTACTATTATTTAAGTTATCTGTGCCAAAAGAGTGTTCTAATTCTCTAAGCAAAAAGTAGATTATAGCATTATGATAATCAAAATTTAAAAAATGAATGCACATGTTCTAGTATCGTGTATATGTACATAAAATATTTATGTATAAATTTTATAATAGTTCCTAAGTAAAGATGCATAATTGATCATAGGGTAATCTATGCCAAAGTTTCCAATTTAACACAGCTCAATGTAATATACAACTAGTTTCAGCCGTAAAAGCTGAACGAACTTATAAATGGTGCTATTCTATTATTACGCTATGTTATTTTTAGAATATAACCAACGACACTAATATTTAACGAAATATTTTTTATATTTTTATCGTTGGAAGTTGTATCGTATCGTGTTAAAGAAGTCACAAAGAAAAGTTAACATCTATTTTTTCTAGGAAGTTACGTAAATCTAATAATATGTACCAGTAAAATATTGATGACGATTTATTGAGTTTATTACACCAGTAATAATTATATTTCTTCATGATCTTCTCTATAGCCATAGGTATGATTTTTAGAGGAAACTTGTTATAAAATTTATTATATACATAAATACACGATTATACATGTATTCTTATATTCGTTGATAGTACTTAATATGCTATTTTGTTCCATTTACTAAAATAATTTATTTCTCTCAGAAGCATTCTTATATGTATGTAATTTATGTATTTTATGTGCCTAATAGTACAGAAAAATATTAATTGCATAGATTACCCTATACATATTGCCACTGGCAAATTACATCCAAAAATACTCATTATATTTTATTTCTTATCGTTTAAATATGTTTTGTTATGTATAAAAAAATATAATATATATCGCGTGCATATTCTGTGTAATTACTATAACTTTGGGAAACATGAAAATGTAATGCAGTACATATGTATCTTAAGAACGTAGAAGAACATGTTATGTGTCTAATATCGTTACATCTATTTTTCACATTTAGTGTTTACACTTGTGTAAGGGACCACAGAATATGATAAAAGGTACTAATAGCATATTAGGAAATGAAAGTATGAATGTTGTGCCTAAATACGGGTAAATTATTCGGGAATAGTATTCAAATTTCAAAAATTAAATAATTGAGTAATTACAGGAGTTTTATCGCTTTTGATATTAAAATTTATGTGTAAAAACTGTAACAGTATTCAATTTGATTTATGTTCTAAATAAACATTTTTTAGAAATTTTCAAATGGAAAGGTAGAATATAGTAAGTAAGAAATTGGGAATTGTTTTAGGCATTACATGAACGTCATATAATATTAAAAATTCCCAAAGTTAATTAGTTTTAATACAGAAGATACACTCATGCTCTCTATAAGTAAATTAAAAGTTTATATATATATATATATATATATATTTCAATATTGTAATTTCATTGTTTTTTTGTGATATTCATTCATTTTATGTGATATTAATTGCAATATGTTATTCAAAAGATTTTTATAATAATGATTTAATAGAATATAATTTATTATCATTTTCAATTATGACTACAACCTGTATGAATTCAATTTGATATGGTAAATTACTAAAGCATAATATTTACTTTAGTTTACTGTTCAAATACCTCACAATGTGTAAAGTGCCATCTGAGATTTCTCTTTCATCCTATGCCAATTATATTACAAATCTTATTTTTACACTATTACAAAAAGGCAGGGTGATTGATAAGAAGGAATTCATATAATGCAAATCTTTGAAAGATCTATGTATGCTATATTACTTAAGATTTTAAACAACTAACGTAGACACGTAGAATGAACTTTTATCCTGAAAAGTATCAACAATGTGAATTGTGTTATAAGTCTGTCACAAATTCAGAGTGAACATAAATAATATAATATTTCGTATCGAATAAAATATAAGAAGGTATATATTCCGTATTATGTCAGATAGATACTTAATTTTTTAATTTGATTTCCTATCATTTCTTTTAAGTCGAAAATAAAACGACATATATTTAGAAAAAATTACGAGTACAGTACCCCGTCCAAAATTGTAGCAATATCATTATTTTGATAATGAAGTGACAGAGGAGGTTCTCGTTATACAAAACTTTTTAAATCAATCTTTTATTATCTTTTCTCTTAAAATGAAACTATTTTTACCTTCTACCACAGTTTTAATAACATAAAATTTCGCATTATATATATTGCGTTCCATTTGTATTGTAAATGTTAAACATCTTTCTTCTCTTGTCAATTACATCTACTACATGTTCATATCGTTGCAAAACACAGCTGAAATCATGCATAATACGTCCTGTTCAGAGATACGAATGTAGAGAAATCATGTTATAAAAAAGATGTTTAGCAGAAAGGAATAAGATATTTAAAGAAGCAAATCTATCATTTCAATAAATCTGTTTAAATAATCTAGGTTGCTTTACTCACTTTCCAAAGTCGCAATCCCCTATCCAATCTAATGCATTTGTGATTATAGAATGCTGATTTCTTAAGTATTGTAAAATGCATAACAAAGTTACGCCAACATCAGTCTCTTCCTTGGATCGATTAATCGCACTGATGTAACAGTATTCGATTTCGTTACTAAATATTTTCCATATCTAAGAATTTGTTTATTATTATTAATAACTATTGTAAATAACGTTTACTAGCGATCAATTACATTAATACACACAGCATCGATATATACCTGTATCCATTTTTTTTGCAATAATTCTCGTAAATTCTCTCTTTTTTTAAATTTTTGTAAAACGTAAATAGCCTCGATACCTTCTTCTATATTCTTTACATTTTTAAATATATCATTAATTAAATTTACTACCATATTTTCTAATTGCAAATCCATATACCTAAATTGTTTGATCTTTATAAACCAAATGGATCCTGTAACATCGAACACGATGTCACGTGCCATTATAATTTCATTTAAGTTTTCGTAAAATAAAGATTCAATTTCTCGTAAATATGCTTCATACTCGGTTCCGTTTGGGCCTCCGATTAATCCTATTTTAACGTCTCTATTAAATCACATAAAAATGATTATTAATTTCTATCTTACTTTTTCTTTTTTTTCTTCTTCTTTCAAATACCTTCCAAATACTATTAAAGCTTCGCAAATTTCAATGACATCGTAGCATCTTTGTTTAAAAATATTAATTTTGCTAAAAACTTCTTGCTGGTTTATGTCCCATTTTCTGTTAAGATTGATACGACATGTAACATTTATCATGACCTGCAATAAGTGTTAATAATCTACCAATCAGCTGTTAATACAAGAAAGTATATTTTATAGAAAGCATACGTTATCATATATTGTTTTATAAACATTACAACAAAATATACATTTCTCTAGCATCTGTATTCCCATTTCGGGATTACTCCCAAGAGCAACGTCCAGTTTGATATATCTTTTACATTGCTCCATTATTTGTGAGCTTAATGCTTGACATAATATTTTTATATTACGCCTAGAAATATTACTATATAGAAATATCACATACGGAAATATTATTTTTCAACATAAGTCATTGTTCTTACTTCGTAGAATAGAACGACGATTCCGTCCAAATGAATAATATAAGAAGTAATGCTTCTGTCACAGAATTTTCGACATCTTCTGGAATGTTTAAATTTTTACAAAAACGAAGTAGAATATTTAAGTACATTAAATTCGACGACGCTTCCTCTAATCTTGCATCAATGTGGATAGTTAATTTCTCTAATTCACTCGCGCTTGGAGAATGCAAATTTTTCAAAATGTCGATGATTAATCGAACTTCCGTATTAAGAAGTTGAGTACACAAATGATTCAAATTTGAATCTACAAGGAATTCGAAACAGATACTTTTTATTAAGAAAAGATGTAGTGTAGCTGAAGATAGAAAAGTTAATTCAACTAATGAGAAACTGACGCTTTGCATTCCAATAGTCCACTTCATCTTGTATATTATTAATTTGTCTTCTCATCGACGTCATCGTTGCTCTACGTATCTGTCTGATCCAAAAGCAAACTACTTTCTCTAGCCTGTCGACTAATTTTCGTTTTCTTTCATCTTCTTCGGAAATGGCCGTTGTTTTATTTGTACCCAACAAAAAATAATTGCCTGTATCCGATTTTAAAAATGTCTGGAGAAGACGTTCTTTTGGTACGTATAAGATAGTTCTACCCATTGGTTTATAAACTTCCTCCATTAGATGTACGATAAACTCGTGTAAATTTAAAAATACGTCGTTTCTTAAAACTGTTCGTTATGGGAAATTGTAGCTCTGATATGGGTTATTTTTGTTCGAGATAACGAGGTAATGATAACAAATAGAAATAAAATTTTGAAACTTTGTAATTATTATACCACGTATACTATTCTACACGAACAAAATTAAAATGATAAAATTATAATATTTTATTTGGATACATGAAGCGTAATCTTCGCTGTGCAGCACAATCGGTGCATACATATTTTCCACAAATTTTAGGACATTACTCTTAATATTATTGCTAATACTGCCAAATGAAACGGTCTTTAAAAAATTTTCTGGGGTATAAATTTGCCATGATGATCTTAAGAAATATGTAAATCCCTTAGATGCATGTATCGGGATATCGAACATAGCATTTAATTCATCTTTATCGTAAAATGTAGTTAGCACTGTATATGACGGATTTTTAAAATATTCTTGAATTGTTTCATCGGAATGCTCGTTCCAACTTACGCCATTGCAAGAGTATATCGTTAAATCTTTCACATATTTCACCTAAAAGCATATTCAAACGAAAACATTTAATCGTTTCAATGAAACCTACAAAAGTATTTCCACTTCTGTAACAGGATCTTAAAAGTCGCGCCGTAGATGGCATTACAGTAAATTCCTATCATTAGACTGATAGGAATTTTTCATAATACTAAAGTGTGGCTTCTAGTCTAATTCTTTTTCATTCAAACTATAAATCAGTTCTGCAGTAATGTTTCATTAGACTGATTTATTACAATTTTGTAATACTATATAAAATTTGATGCATAATTAATTTAGTATTACTTCTTAGATAGAACGAATCAAACGATAATAAATAATCGTAAGTCCACAATGTTTTTATCTGTACATATATATTAAGTAGATATTAAAAAAAATATATTTTGCAATAAATTATCTTGTTATGGACTCTGATGACCCGATTTGGGCAACAAGTAAGTTTTAAAATTTCAAATTGCGTTGGTTTACGTTGGTGTTCTTACTAAAGCAATTAAATCTTTCTCGGAGAAAATAGGCTTTTCCGGTTCTGAGGGAACGACAAATTCTTCGCCTGCATCAGGTGATTCTACAATACAATTAAATATCTTAAATTATTTTCTCAATTACAGAGAACAGAATTACAGAGATTTAGATATCGTAATAGAAATTAGAATTATCATGCATATATTTAAAATTGTTTTGCACATTTCCTCAAAATATATTCAAATTCAGTAATTCGATTCAATATAACTAAATCTTAACTGATCGCTGATCTTTTATGATTTAGTCGAAATTTTAAGATGTATGTATTTAATTATCGTACCTTGGTGACCAAAATCTTCTTCATCGGTATCCATATCCAAAAATTCTCGATGAGTATCCATCATCTTATCCGATTTTTTTAAGATTTCAGATTTTTGTTCTTTCTTTACGATCATCTTTTTTTTTTTTTTTTGTTCTGTATAATATACGAAGATAAGTATATAAAAACAAATATAAATATTTGTATAGCTTCGGCACGATATTAGTTTTATCTTCTTATTGTTTGTTACATCGATATGTTTTCCGTTACTATACTATAAGACAATACAAGACTAGTACTATTCAAAGAATATTAATAGGATATTAATAAATAGGTGAAAAGTAAAAAAAAATATACAATATTTATTAATGATAAATATTAAGAGAGATAAAAAATTGTTGTAACTATTTTATATTACATTTATCTTATTCTTAAACATTTATGGTGCGCGTTACAGTAAATTTGGAATATTAAGAAAGATTAACACAATGTCTCAGTCTGCCAGAGAAAAAATATTTGTTGGTCCATTTATTCACTCTAACGAACAGGGAGAACTGATTGTCGTCGACCGTGGTATGATACACGTTAAAAACGGCAAAGTATGTATCGGTCTATTTTTATTTATTTTTAATTTGCAATATCATTATTTATCATAATAAATTAAATATTACGCCTAAGGTAAACCTTATATTTGTTAAATTATGTAATATACTTTTTTATGCTTAGATCTCTAATATAGTAATAAATCCGAACTTAGATGATATAAAAAACGAAAGTGTCAGTGTTCTCAGCAATAGTCAATTTTTAGTACCAGGATTTATTGATTGTCACATTCATGCTGTTCAACTTCCTAATTTAGGAGTTGGATATGATAAACAACTTTTAGAATGGTTGGAGACTTATACTTTTCCCTTAGAAAAGAAATATACAGATGAAAAATTTGCTGAACGAGTATTTAATACAGTTGTGGTGAGTTCAATGTAACGTAATATCAAAATATTTTTTAGATTATATTTTATATAAATGATGATCGTATTATTTCTGAAATTATAGCAACAGACTATAAAGAGTGGTACAACAACAGCATGTTATTTTGCATCTCTCTATCCAAAAGCATCTATAATTCTTGGACAAGTAGCAGCTAATAAGGGTCAACGGGCATTCATTGGAAAAATAAGTATGAATGTAAAACGTAGTGATAATTATTATGAAACTACTGAACAATCTATAGAAAATATAAACAAATTTATAGAAGATTTGGCTAAATTAAATGTAAGGTTGTGAATATCATTTAAATTTATATTTTACTTCTTCTTTATAAAGATCAAATTGTTATTTATATGATAATTATTATAGAGTCCTCTAATAAAGCCAATTATAACACCAAGATTTGCCTTAAGCTGTGATATGACACTAATGAAAAAATTAGGAAAACTAGCAAAAGAAAAAAATCTTCATATACAGGTACTATATATGAGATATTTTTTATGTGTAAAAATATTCTATGTGTATGAATTGTTTTAACATACATGTAAAATATTTCAGACTCATGTATCGGAAAATCAAGATGAAGTAAAAGCTGTGAAGAATAACTTTCCTGAATATCCTTCTTATGCAGCTGTATATGATGCAGCTGGACTTCTTACAAATAAGGTATACAAAATAAATAATTACATATATACAAAATATAAGAAACTATAAACTGCTTATTTTCAGACAGTGTTAGCTCATGGGATATATCTTACAGATAATGAACTTGTATTATTAAATGAGCGTGATACGGCAATTATACACTGTCCTTCATCAAATACATGTTTAAAAAGTGGTCTTTGTGATATTCAAAGACTGAAAAGCAATCGGATTAAGATTGGTCTTGGCACTGGTATAAATTTATTATTTTTATTTAATAACTTTATAGTTATATGATAATTATACAGTTTATTTCAATAAATCAGTTTTTATTTTTAGATGTATCAGGTGGACAAAGTTGTAGTATTTTAGATGCAATGAGATCAGCTTTACAAGTATCGATCCATTTGTCCTTAATGAAGGATAATTATAAAGCAGTTAATTATAAAGATGTATTTCATATGGCTACATTAGGTGGTGCAGCAGGTACTGTTCTTAGAATTAAATCAAAATTATTCACTGCATCAAGTTACCGAATCTCTAATACGATATTCCTTTAGCCCTTGCGATGGATAACCAAGTAGGGAATTTCGAAGTCGGTAAAGAATTCGATGCCCTTATTGTGGATACAGATGTAAGTGATGGACTTTTGAATAATTTGCAAAGTAGTACCTTGGAAGAACGATTTCAAAAATTCATTTATTCCGGAGATGATCGTAATATTATTGAAGTGTATATAAGTGGCTGTAAAGTTAAATAAGGATAATTCATATTCGTAATACTTACATATTTCATGTTTATTCCAATGTACAATAGTTTATATATAAGGTATATATGACAATGCAATTATAATCAGTGTAATTATGTATTTACTATATCTGTAAAGGAAATTATTTCTTGATAAGATAATATAAAAATAAATTATTCGAATGACTTAATAAATGAAATATCATGGTATATAAAGCTACCTTTATGTCGTTCCAGAAATACTTTTATGCTTCTTGCAGCTTGCTCAAATGCCTTTTCAAATCCAGCGCTGTCACTGTCCTATTATTTTAATCGAAAAATATTTAAATATTTAATAACAACAAAAATAATTTAACAATAACACGTTAACAATTCTTACAAATAACGGGTCTCTTATATTTAATTCTCCATTCGGATCATATTTTCCAAGAAGTTCAATTTTTGCTTGACTATCTTCCGGTTGCATTTGACAGAGGTCAAATACTATTCCACTATCCATTCCAAATATCCAATCGAATTTGTAGAAATCTTCCTTTGTTATCTGAAAACAGAAGGACACGTTTTATCTTACATTTTAAATAAAACAATTTGTTATATATACCTGTCTCGCTATGTGAGTATAATCTGTAATGCCTCTTTTTTTGAGCGTAGACATAGTTCTAGGCTCTGGACCGTTACCTACGTGATACTGTAAAAGTGCAACGCTATTTACTTCCCAAACGTCAGAAAGATTTAACTTTTTTATTTCATCGTAAAATACTGCTTCTGCTATTGGAGAACGACAGCTGTTTCCTAAGAATTTTTAATACTGGTATAACGAAAGATGATACGCTTACAATATTACTCTGCACAGACAATTAACATTCTTAATATACCTAAACACACCATTAACACTTTCTTTTTTGGTGACATGTTGCTGTTTACTGATTTTAAATTAATTTTCACCTTTAAAAAGGTATTCATACAATAGCGTCCTTAAGGTTATGTAAGAAACCTTGTAAAACGAGGTAAATACATATATATGTTTTTATCTTAAATAACTGTTGCTTGTACAAGTAAATATGTAGTTACACGAGTATTAAGTTAATAGAAATCAGAATCGGTATAAGTTAAATGCATTAGTACGATATGAAACTAGAGAGTTATTTTACATATGAAAGACGATTGAGAATTTCTTTTAAAGAATACTTGTAAATGATAAGTAGTAACGAATCAATACTTTAATTCTGTAATGAATTTTTATTGTCTCTAAGAATTTATACACGTATAATATTTTAATAATTTTAATTATACATATTAATAGCTTTTAAGTTTTATTCTGGTTTTAAAGTTTCATCTGGAAATAAGAAGCTTGCTATAATTATATTTCTTTAAATTTAATTTATAAATTATCACAAGTGCAATACATCTTTTGATAATACCTTTATGTTGTTGCAAGAAAGCTTTTATACACCGTGTACTCTGCTCATATACCTTATAAAATCCATTATTGTTGTTCATCTGTAAATAAATCTGTTTTAATTTAGCTCTTGTTTTATAATAGAAAATTTTAAATTAACATTTCGTATTAAAATAATTATGTACATAGTAAGGATCTTTGATTATGATTTCTCCCTTTGGATCATACTTTCCAAGAAGTTCAATCTTAGCAGTACAATTCGCAGGTTTCATATAATTTAATTCTTCAATATTACTATTATCCATTCCAAATATCCAATTAAACGTGGTAAAATCATCTATGTTGACCTACAACGACAAAATAAATTAATACTAACATTAGATAGTTTTTATATAACAATAAATTTACTCACTGTTCGTGCTCTATGATAATAGTTAGTGATACCCTTTTCTCTTAGCGTAGCCATGGCTCTTGGATCTGGACATTTACCTGTATGATATCCTATGATTGCCGCACTTTCTACTTCCCACGATTCGTTCAAGCCTAATGCATCTATTTCGTTGCTGAAAACTGCTTCTGCTATTGGTGAACGACAAATATTCCCTGTAAAATAAAAATAATGTTTTATACCGTTATGGTATACGATTTTTTAAATTTATTATACACTCAAATATTTTAAAACATACCTAAACAAACCATAAGTACCCTTTTCTTTTGAACCATATTTTTTTTTTTTTTTTTTTACATAAATATTAAATTATAAGGGATCAATAAGAATTTACAGCGGTTCTTAACCCTGTAACTTACAGTATCGTATGAAAGACGTAGTACGTCGTTGTTATTGATTTATTATTTACTCCAAGATAATAAATCTTCCGTGTTCAATGATCAATTGGTAATCAAATTTATCAAACATCTTGCAAAATAAAATTAGTTGTACGTTACACATGCGCTTATATATCAGAAGACATGTGCGATCTGCACAACTTTGAACGCTCGACGTGTGACCGATCTTGCTTATTGTTTATTGGAACCTAAATCGCAAGGCAAGGGGTTAATTTTTTTCAAATAATTACGTTATCTATGAATAATAAAACTATAAATAATAGCCATAGAAAAATGTATTATTTTCCGGTCAGGTTTGCCAATTACGCATTATTCGAAAAGTGTACTATGTTTATTGAATATAGAGTGCGCTATCGCCGTATCCTACCGGTGACTTTCCATGTAGCGGTTTGTTACATAGATTAATATCGGGCTTTCTTGATTACGGTTGCTGGCAGTGCTTGTTTAAGAAAAATAAGCCATGTGGTAGGAGTGAAATAGGTTAAAATTCGTTTGAAAAAGCATTTTGTAAATATGTCGTTCTTTATTCGAAATAAACAAGGTAGCGGAGGAATTAAAAGAAAGGTATAAAAAATGTGTATATACTTAGAAATATTTGATTTTTGATATATAAAAATTATTCTGTGTCGCAAGATGCAATTGAATTTATTTGTAATGTACTACAAAGGATTACAAATTTATCATATTCTAGTTTAATGGTTATACTAAAACAAAGGGGAAGACAAAGAAGATAAATAAGCCTGTACCTGATGATAACGAAAGTATTGCCAGTACAGACGAAGAACTTGCAGAAGAAAATCAGAGGTGTTTATATATTTCCAAATTTAGATTTAATAATTTTATTTTTAACTGTTATTAATTATTATTTTGTATAGAAGAAACGAAGAATATGAAAGCGAGGAAGAAGAAGAAACTGCTCAGGAGAAGCGCGTAAGACTTGCAAAGCAATACCTTCAGCATATCGAAGAAGAAGGTAAATTATTATATGAAATGGTTCTTCCGTGTGTTCACTTTTTAACGCCAGTTTTGTAAATAAATATAGAAAGAGATAGAGCAGAATTTGAAGAAGGAGCAGTAGCAAGAAGATTACAAGAGGAATATTTAGAAGAAAAGGGAAGATTACGGAAGACTGTAGCTTCAAATTATATCAATCATGGTGAACCGATTGTTCTAAAATGTAAAGAACATAAAAGTTCAATTACCTGTTTATGTCTCTCTAGCAATGGAAAATTTTTATATTCTGGTTCAAAGGATGGTAGTTTAGTTAAATGTATGTTACTTTTGATAAAACAACCATTGAATTACGAGAACAATTTTACTTAAGCGAATATTACATAATAGGGTGCTTAAAAGAAGGAGCAAAATTGAAAGCCGTTAAAGGAAAAAGGAAGTCAGAGGCTGGAATGAAATGCGTACAATGTTTGGCAATTAGTACCGATGGTAAATTTTTGGTAAGATTATATAAACTTTCATTTATAATATATCTGCATTCACATGTATATATAAATATCTATTTCTTACGACGAAAGGTAGCAGGAGATAGCGGTTGTAAACATATTCTAGTATTTTGTGGAGATACCTTAAATCACATAAAAAACTTGCAAGGTCATAGGGATAGCGTTACCAGCTTAGTCTTCCGTAGAGATACGCACACGTTGTATTCCGGTTCTAACGATAGAAGCGTAAAAGTATGGAATTTAGGTGATATGGCATACGTTGAATCTTTGTGAGTACATCATTATCGTTGTCATCATTTTAACGTAGCTTACTCTATTATAGTCGCATTTTATTACTTTTTTAGATTTGGACATCAAAATGGCGTTACATCGATTGACGCGCTTGCGCGTGAACGAGCTATAAGTAGCGGTGGTTTCGATGGGACGATACGAATTTGGAAAATCGTAGAAGAATCGCAACTTATATTCAATGGACATGGTGGTAGCATAGATACCGTAAAGCTTATAAACGAAGAACACTTTTTTAGTTGTGGAGACGATGGACAATTATGCGTTTGGGGTTGTTTAAAGAAAAAACCTTTGTGTTCGGTGCTAGACGCACACGGAAGAGATGAAAGCAATGGTCAACCAATGTGGATTTCGAGTATAGCTACTTTACTCAATACAGATCTAGTTGCATCAGGTATTAAATACTGTTTTCTTTTTTAAATATGTGATTCGTTTGTCTCTATGAAAGAATGTTAATCGTCTATCGTAATTATGGAATATAGGATCGCGAAATGGTGTTATCAGATTATGGCAATGCGGCGATTCCTTTAGATCATTGAATCCGCTATTTGAGATACAACTAACAGGGTTCGTCAATGCGCTATGTTTCACTTCGGATGGGACTCGACTTATTGCTGGAATTGGTCAAGAACACAGACTTGGAAGATGGTGGCGGATATCAGAAGCAAAAAATTCCATAGTTATAATACCGTTAATTCAAACAAAAAATAAATAGTTTATAATATTAAGAAGAAACGAACAGTTGTAAATTGAATATGAATAGTTAGGTAAATAAAGATCGTATAGTTTTTTACACGTTTTATCTCGACAAACTTCTTTCTATATTAAAAAAAAAATATATATTGTTTATTATTTCATAGTTGATGTTTGTAATTTATTTTTCACATAACATTTGTCATCTGACTTTTTGTTATCTTCGAATATCTCATTTACAATGAAATCGACTCGTAAACATGCGAATGAAATAAAAGAAATATTGGTCCACAGTACAAGTATTTATTTATTCTGTACAAAAGTTGAGTTATAAAATATTATGTCCCCATTTTAGGTCTTGTTCTTAGTCTTGTATACCATGCCGTCTTGAGTTCGTTCGTATAATAACAATGATCGCCGCAGAGGACATTAGCGTTTACAAGAATGAAGTGATTACCGCCATTGATTTATTCGCGTCTGCTGACTATGAACCAGAAAGAAACGAGCATCGATTTCGCCAGATCTCTTCCTCATTCATACGTAAATGCACCTGTCCTTGCACGAACCTCGGGCTCACCGTGTACATATACAAATCAAATCGACTTTTCTCCCCTTATATTCGCGTCAACAAACGAGTGTACAGCGATTGTACGCTACTTCTTGTATGCATTCTTGCAGGAATGTTTTTCAAACGAGTGCGACAACCTAGGCCTTTCGGTATGGTTTTCTTCCATCGTTTCGTCTCGCATTATTTCAATTTCTTTGTTCACTCTTACTTAGAACCTTATAACTGCAAGTATGCTTCTACGCGGATGACCGAAGCAGCATTGCTTCCCGCCCGATTAGTTTCTTCTCCATTGGCTCTACTTTCACGAGAAGTCTATGTACTCCGACACGTGTTGCCTAAAATGCTTTCCTTTTCTCTCGTTTGTCTCGCGCTTCTTTTCTCGAGTTGCGCGATCCTTAAGTTATGCGCGCTTCAAATCAGGCATCGCTTTCGTTCGATCTATCCGTCTTTCCTTCTCGTTTCTTCCGTTTTCTTCTTTCCGCGAGCTCACCCGATTGTTTCCATTTTCAGCGAATCAATGAAATTTACCAGTAGAATCGTTATCTCAAATTGTTATGGAGTTTAACGGTGAATAATTTTTCTATTCGTCTTACTTAGCTGCCTGAAAAGAAGGAAAGTGATGGCACAAAAATGGCACCTGTTAACGCTAACTTTCGAAACTTAATACTAAAACTTGTGATAAATATAGACCACAGTTTATCGTTGCATTCTTTCCCATTATAGAAGTGCCTTGGAGAAGCGCTTGGAGAAGAAATACGCGCGAGTGTATTTCTTTGGTGGTTAGAAGTAGAATGCGTGCGAACGTGTAAGACAAGACTTATTCAGCGTGACCGCAAACGAATATCGTAAACACCGGAAATCATCATACAGCACACTTACAAGCACACTTAACATTTTTTCGCATCGTTCTATATAATATAAATTCGTTCTATATAAACAATCGTACAACGATTTAGGCTCCAAATCTCGCGTATATCTCGACACGCCACAGAGGAACTGACTTTTCATTTTGCGAAAATTTTGCACCGCAAAAATATTTCGTTTTGATGTGTAACACTCTCGCTTCGGATTTAGAATCGATAAATAGCTCTAAACAACGTGACGAGCGTACCTTACAGATTCAAGTAGGGGAAACGATTCGTTCGAGCGCATCTTCTTTCTTTTCTTTTTTTCTGCCAAATACTCTGTTTTTTCAACGATTTATAAGTCCTGTCCTACGTGACGACAGTTTTGCACTTAAAACAATTGCATCGAGGGATCGCAGAAACTATTGTCAGTCGCGAGTCGCTTGGTAAGTCGAGAGATTCGTTGTCTGTGAAGCATACACGGCTGAAAGCCTTAGGCGAATCGAATGGGGGCTTGATTAATCGGATCGAATCGATCGAAAGGAAGTGGCATGGTCGCGTGCCCGTGAACAAGCAACGCGGCTCGAAACATAAGCATCGTTCTTTTCGGCATTGCGAATCGTCAGATTTCGTATATTACACGCCATCGCGATTTTTTCTATTATGTATACGCTATGTACATTTGATCTTGTAAAGCACATAACATCCGGATCGATAGTTAACTTTTCAGGTGAAATTATTATTTTATCAAATATAAAATATTCAGACTAATATATAACAGGTTTTTACAACTCCAAAGATGTGGTTCATATGTTACCGAGTAGTTTGAACGATTGAAATGTTTCAATAGAGACAAAATATCTTAGAATTAAATGAAAGACTTAGAGGAAGAAGGAGGGAATGAAGCGACGGATCAATGAATTCAGTCTGAGTTAACAGTCAGTCAGTGTGGATCTTGTTTTTAGATTACTAACATTTCAAAATGGTATTTAACATTTGTATATAACACTGGTATATAACATTCCGTATCTAACATTTTAAAATAATATGTTTTAGTATTCCACGTGTTGTATGTTCTTTAATGTCACATATATAAAATATAAAGCGATAAGAAATTTCTGGCAAAGTTTTGTTTAAAATCTTCAATTCTCCATGTATACACACTCCATTGAACGACATCGTGGATATTATGTGCTTTTTAAGATGTACTGCTTGTGAATGTAGCGCGTTCATCTTTGACAGACGGTATTTCAACTTCGATGGAACGTGGAACGAATTGAAACGATTTTTGTATATGATCAGCGTCGAAAGACTCGCGAAATTTAAGAATGCGATCGAACCGGACATCCGTTTTCGCTGCGAACTCACATTCCTCCATACTCTATAGCTTCTGTCTCTCTTTCTTTAACATTCGTTTTGCAGGGTAGGACAACGAATAAGTTACGGCTACGATAATTACCAATCGCTTTCGAGGCTATCGATTACGTTAATTAAAAATGGCAGTTTTACGTTTTAAATTACATTTCGCTCGTTTCACGCGACGCAAGAAGTAATCGTCGTCTTTACGTCTGTGCGTTTGAATTTCACGCGTTCAACCATTGATTAAAACATATGAAATCCTTCGAATCGATCAAAGCATATACGTGTATATATATATATATATATATATATATATGAAACAATAGGAAATTTCATGAAAAGTTTGAGCTTCGGTAAAAACGTAATTCAACCTATCAATTTCCTCTTGCATCTCGTGTTTACAGCGTTTCGAAACAACGGTAAAAGATGCGTATACGTATAAAATCGGTAAAAGCCGAAAAATCAGTGCAACAAAGCGTATATATCGTTTATTTGTGTTCTCACCGTTTTCAATAAATATCCATCGAAATGATCGCGAATGCAGTTTTACACGCAAATCGTTTTCATTCGTTTAAAAAATAGAAACATTTGGAAATGAACCGCGAGGGGATTCACGGATGCGCTTACAACCTTTCGAATCGAGCAGGCAACGATCGTTTAAATATAATTCTTTTTACAACCAATTTGATTCCAGGAACTCATTAATGCCTGTCGAGGGTTCAACGAAAGAGGCGTGACACGCGATTTCCCCAAATTTACCATTCAGCACTGTGAATCCCTCTGGTTCCTATACAACCCACGCAATGGTGCTCGTCGCTGATGGCCTCAAACGCAAAAAAGGAAACCTGATTTCTTCACCGAATCCGCGAACTAGAACTCGATACCCTGGTATCTGAATCGCGTGGAACGTGGATCGCACGCATCTCGTCCATCGAGAAGAACATTTCTTTTTCTTCATCATCATCATCATCATCGTCGTCATCATCTTCTTCTTTTCTTTCTTTCTTTCTTTTTCTTTTTTTTTTTTTTATTTGTACTTAAACGATTCGAGACGACTCGCGCAAGGTACTTTCAAAATGAAACGTTTCGACGCCGACGTATTTCGTCGTACGCGTCGACGTACTTTGTATGTGTTATGTGAGTGAGTATGTACGTGTATTATTATTATTTTATCGGGGGACGCCCGGTCTCCCTGTCCGGCATTTTAACATTTTCCAGTTACTTTTTCACTTTTTTTTTTATTTTGTTTCGTTTGGTTTACTTTCATTTTCCATCGTTATATGTGACCGTATATCGACATGCATAATACAATATAGCTATATAAATCGCGCGACGCCGACGAGTTTACGTTTAGAGCATCGTCGACCCTTTTTCCCACCTTTCGTCTTTCTTTCTTTCTTTCTTTCTTTCTTTCTTTCTTTCTCTGCTTCTGCGAGTGAATTCACGCGCTTTTGCGTTTTACGTCGCGTGGTCGTCGAAGTCGCGTCGCTTTTGCATATGTGTATATCGTGTCTCTGTATCTGTGTATGAGTGTACATTTAAATATATACTTTTTTTTTCTTTTTTTTTCTTCATATCTTTAGAGTAACGCCGCACCTTTTCTCGCGACGCCCTCGACAATGTTTGAAACTGTTTGTATCGCAATATGTGCCAATATACGTGTATATGTGTCGTGTGCACGTGTCGTAGTGTGTACATGTGTGTGCGTGTCTTGCACGTACTTCGTGAAGATCGATTCACGTTTACTGTGTACTTTTTATGGTTACCTGTAATTTTTCCGACGATTATGTCGTTTTTCCGGTTCTTTTTTTTTTTTGCTTGTTTGGTTGTCTGTTTGGACTGTTTAAACGCTATTTCGCTACAAGTGGACTACCATTATGAACACTACGCTACTTTGTATTGTATCTGTAATGCTTTGTAATGAACGACTGTACTGTACTGAACGTGCATACTTAGCGAGCACACGCAATCTATAATTGATCGATCCTGTTCACGAATGCCACACGTGGACCGCGTTACTATTTTTACAATTTTTTTCAGCTTTTGCTTTTTATCTGTTTACTCGGTTCAAATTTAGATCGAGCGAAGGTGAGGCAAAAGAGAGATAATGGCTGAATAAATATTGTTGCGTCGTAATTGGAAACTAGGTCGTTTGATTGTCAGACAACGCTAACCGATCGAACTATTCAAACCGTTGATACTTTCTTTCTCCAAGCTGGTTTTCATATTTTTCTTTTTTCTTATCCTCGATATATCGTATCGATCGATCGAATAAACTGCGTGATATCATCTTTCGACATCTTTTTCCCATTTTATAAACATGATATCCCGACTGTTGTTTAATTTATATGTAAATACGTGTACCGTGTTCAGGAGAGAGAAAAGAAATGATCTAACGGTTGCTCCGGTGATAACGTGGCGCCTGCCGTATGGCTTCCGTGACCGTGATCGTATGTGTCATGTAATGTTACCTGTTACAAAATTAATATATGCAACGTGAGAGAATTCATGACCTGGCTAAAAAGTGTGGTTCTGTATTCAAACGCTCTTTTGTTTAATTAGTACTTGTATTTCTCGATTATGAGTTAATAATCATAGTTTAATAATAACCACTTTGTGTTTTTTCTTATCTTTTTTTCCATCTTGTTAAAAATCTTAGACATCAACGTACATTCACTTTTATAATAAATTGTTATTAGAAACCTATCCTCATACTTGCTATGTATTTAATATAAATTTCATCGTGTTATCGTTATTGATCGTAATCTTTTTCTTGTTTTTCTTCATTTCTCTATTTACAACGACGTACCTACGAAATCATCTCGATCCCATTTTCACGCTCGATAAATCCGCGACGTTGTCAATTCGACGCGGTAAATCTAATTAATCGATCCCTTCATACTTTTCCCTTTCCCATCCCTGTTACTTCTTTCTTTCTCGTTACTGCCCTCGTTTTATCTCATCCCCATTATACCCCCTGTCTCGAGAAGAGAGGAACAAGCTCTTTTCGCGTACGAATAGTCGCCTGCTGTGATCTTCACCCGCGAAGACCTCTAATCTCTTGACATTGTTCCAAAACACGCACACGAGAGGATAACACAATGAAATAGCGAAAATGAACGATAAAAATCGCAATGAAGGGGAGGTTCGAACGTCTTTGGATTAGAAAACTGTGAAACCTGTTCCTCGTTTTGTTCTTCGTGTGTTTCTGCTCGAAACGTGCCATCTGCAACGCGTCTACGTACTTATGCGTAACTGTATATCGGTCTGTGTACGCGATTAAGAGCGAAGACTAATCTTAACGCGCGATCTAATTAATCGTAATCTTCAGGTTCATCGACCTTATGATTATTCCTGTGTGTTTCTGTTATATCGGTGTCGTTAAACTTTCTATTATATCGATTATCTATATATACTTTCTACTAACGATTTAAATACCTTATTGGTACGATGCTTGTCCCTGTTCATGATTACAAAAATAACTTTCGAGGAGCAGCGTTTCACGTTGTGGTCGGTAGTAGTGGTGGTGGTGGTGGTGGTGGTGGTGGTGGTGGTGGTGGTGGTCGGGATTGGTGTTACGGATGGATCGGAGGGTGCTTTCGGAGCGGATCGGTCGAAACGAAAAAAAAAGAAGAAAAGAAGAAAGACAAATGAAGGAGAGAAAAATAAAAAAATATTGCAGTGAGTGACCTTGTCTATTTTCTATCGATAGTTCGAGTCTATATTATTGTTATACCGTATCATCTATCGTCCGTAAGAATGAGTACCATTCACATTGGATCTATGTAACTTTGCTGCATTGCTATTGCATTTATGTTTAATTGATTACGGGCTTTCATGCTGGCTCTGATTAATTCGATTAATTCGAGTCGATCGATAATTCGCCGCCCGGAGCAGTTCTATCGATACATCCACGATTCAAGACGTGTGTGCAACCGTGTTACATGGATCGTCGATCATGCCGATCGAAACGTAAACGCACTCTACTATTTGCGTCCCTTTACAAATGTACGTTACTGTATGTAATATCCTCTGAGACCCGCAAAGCGAACTTGTACGAGAAACGTTTTGTACAATCGTGTGTTAAATTACTTCTACTTCGTGTGAGAGGGTTAACGAATCGTATATACCTAAATGATATCGTGACGCTATAGTTGACGACTGATCTACGCAGAGGCGCTTCGAACGCTTTTCCTTACAATGGTGCAGGTGATTGTCTTTGGGTTTCGTTTTGCGGGTTGATCAGCGGCTCACAAACAATTCCACGTGTATACATGTGTGTGCGAACGAAAACGACTAGAGAGAAACTAAAAGAAACTGTCATCGTAGCAGCTATAGTTAACGAAACGAAAATATGATCATTTGTGAGAAATCTACATGCTAAGAATCGTGGAATCGTAGGTATCGTCGCGAACTGCTTTCTCGTAATCGATCGCTCGTACGTGTACGAAATTGCTATTGCGGTTAACACATGGGTAAAAAGTACAAACTGTAGACAGACGAACGGACAGACAGACAAACAGACGTGGATCGGAGGCATGTAATACTTAGGCTTACAATACTGTAATGGATAACATTATACACGCATTTAATTTCCATCGTTTCCCTCAACATTCCCGGCTGATCGTGGTCATTGATTTCCATTTTAATTGTCGCGTATAATTAAGGACGATGAACCATCAATGAACGATGAAAACGAGTCGGTCAATCGAGCAGCCATCAGAATACATCTTTTCTTTATTATCTACGATTCGGAATTGGGGTCTCTTTCTCTCTCTCTCTCTCTCTCTCTCTCTCTCTCTCTCCCTTGCGCTCTCATTAATCTTTCTTACATTCTCTCGCTCTCTGCCTTATACAATACGTAATTCTCTCCGCATATTCGTATTTACAATAATTCGTTACTCTAGTTGCCGTTCGGTCGAACTCTTTTTCTCGTGGCCAACGTGAAACGATCATTTGCTCGTTGTAGTTTCTTCCTTTCGCATCCTCGTGCCACGAACGCTCTTCGGTCGCTGTGTGTGCATTTTTACGCGCGCGGTAACAACTATGTGCACTTATTGAAGCTCCATTCACACTGGTGCTCACGGATCCATTTTTAAGACCAGGTTGTATGTAATTATATTCGCCGTGTTGTTCGTATCGCCGACACAGAATCGGTAGATACGTTTGGTATATTGTGATCGGTCGATCGCCAAACTAGACGTCGGACGCAAAAACGATAATTTTGCATTCTGGAAGATGAAATGCGCGTAAATAAGAGTTGTGTAAGTACGCAAGCAATAAAATAGCGCCATCGTAGCCGCGCGGCCAATCATCGAATGTATTGGCGGGAACGCAATTTTAAAGATTACAAGTTACGTTTATACGATACGATACGCGACATGCGCAAGATGCGCGCGCACTATATAATTAATTGCCGGTACAACGTATTCCGCGCGATAAAATCCGAGATACGTAGTTGACGTTTGTCGTGTGATTATGGTAAAATTGTGTGATCGAGAGAAATATGGATCCGTGATCGTGATCGAGCGAAACACGGGCTTACGGATACGTACAGGATACGTGCACAATGTTATGCGTTAATGGGCGTTCGTAACGTAAAATCGGCTGCGATCGCAGCGTGAACAGAGCTTGAACGTTAGCGAAGAGGGCGTCGTTATCGACGTACGCGACAAATCAGAGCGGGATCGCGTGTAACGATCGTGACCACTGTGCATGTATACATGTAATCCCGTACGTTTTACAAATAAATGCGATTTGCATGCGCGTACGTTCGTCAGTACGCGGATGTAAACGAAATCTGCGTGGCGGTGAACAATAAATAGAGTATAAAAAAAAAAAAAACAGGAGAATCATAGGGACAACTGAAAAGAACGATGTACATAGCACAAAAGACGATACCGAAATCGACGAAATGAAACCGACCATCGCACGGCCAATTTATTGAAATAGCGAGCACACGTCGAAATAAGCACTCGAACGCGCGTGTTCGACGTTTTCGAGCAATACAGCACGAAAAAAGAATTAAAGAAAATAGAAGGAAACAACAAATGGCAGATCCGATGATGAGAGGGGTCGAGAATTCATCGTTTAGCTCGCGTCATGTCGTTTCTTTTATCATTACCCCGCCGAATACGCAATTTATTCGCTATTAAATTTGATATTTTTTACTAGTAAATATAGAATATCGAGTGTGATTATTCGTAGCGTAATGATAGCGGATAATAAATATAATACAGATCTATAGATAAAGTTCGGTATGGTACAACTATGATACAAAAATTGTTATTTCGTTCGCTCCGCGATCAGTCTCTCTCACGCATTACATACCATACTTTCGTTCGTTCGTTCGTTCGTTCGCCATTTCCCTTCGACGAACTCGGTCGAAGAGAGGAATTTTCGAATTTCTTCGCCGACGATACTTCACGTGTTCGCGAAAGTGTCACGATTGCGAGAATCGCGGGCGGAACTTACAAAAGTTTATCGCACCTTACACAGTTTTGTGTCCTAACCAAATGGGCGATCTTTGTGTTCACGAATGTTCACATACGCCTCGCAATACACCCACACACGTCATACTCTGTCACACTCGGAAATGTTCACTCACGCTGTATCGCACTCTTCCGTGTGTCATATATAAGATTTCACCTAGTATACGGCACTCTCTTAAATTCCTCTGCCCCGAAGACGAGGCAAGAGCCACTTGTACATATTCATTAGGAATTTATTTACACGCGTGCTAATTATCCTGCTCGCGACTGTTTACGCAAATCGAACGACCCTCCGCCATGACTGTTTCCTTCGATAGATTTCGATCCGAATATTGGCGCGACCATCGCGACTAATCGCGGATTAACGTTTGATTCGATTATCGCAATAAGTCACGTGATTGATCTGAAATCTTCAGTTAAACAAATGACGTATCTACATTTGCGCGGGCGTGATACTGAAAATATTAACGGAAAAACGAGTGCTAAGTGATACATCTACTAAGATGGCAAGTTTTAAATCATACTAACCTAGTAAGTAATTGGTTCTCTATATACATATAAGTTTCTAAGTTAACTTAATCGTTTGACTTTTCAAGTACGATACTAATTCTCAAGCAATCGAGGCATAGATGACAGAGGACCGTTCGTCAACCAACGTCGATGTCAGTCGTACGATATCATTATCATTCGAAATCCTCACGCGCGAGGTTATGATATTTAAACGAAACAACTTTCGCGCTTCTCTTTGACGGACGTATTTATTCGCTACGCGGCGTATGCCACGCTCGAGGATATTTAGCACGCTGTCCACGACTTCGTTCTCTTTCCTCGTATTTCCAATAAATACCTAGAATTAGCGTAATGATAAGAAGGACAACCAATACGACTACCATTTATAGTAGTGATAATAGTGGGCATACTATAATAGTGTCTAATAGTAGCGTTTCTCCTCGTTTCGTCTTTCTTCGTCTTTGTAATCTTACTATCTACGTCTTCGTTCTTCGTTTTCGAATAGTTTCAATATGGCGTTGCTGCTCGTGTGCCGTGCGTGTCTCTTCTCTTGACATTTACGTTTATTTTCTTTTTTATTATTTCTGCCGACTCTTCGTTCTTCTTATAACTCGCATCCTCTTTTATTTTCATTTAATTTTCCTTTTTTCTCTAAACCATTGTTGTTCGTTTTTGTCTTCGTTCCCTCCCGATTAAATTTTCTCGTTCTCTTTCTCTCTCGAGGCAGTCCGACCATAAATCGTGCGCGTTTTATTTTTCATTTATTTTTCACGATTGAGGGGCGGCCACGCGAGCGCGCGCGCGCACGCGTGCCTCAAGAAATTAATTAAACGTAGGATAATCACAGAAAAAGGGGTTTCGACGTATGGGATATACGTTCTCGTCGGTAGTGTTGTCGCTTCACCGTAATAATTGCGGCATGATCGCGCTGATAAACAAGCTTCCCGTCAACACCATCACCAGCTGGTAGTACCGATCTTGAACACGGCTGGAACTCGCCCCGTTGTAGGTCAATTCTTCGTTCTTCACAACTTCGTTCGGATGGTCCGAATATTCCTCTGTAGACAGAAAAAATCAATTGTTTATTTCCGGACAATAGCCATTTGATCGTTTATCGTAGTTATTAAAAAAAAAAAAAAACGTTTATCCGCCAACTTAATTGATTAACGTGGATTAACAAATGGAAATTTTTAATTGGGAATTCAGTTATCCGATGAAACAGAAGCAAATAGAAGTGCTTCTTGCATAATTTGGACAATGTAGAAATTAATACTTTACAGCGAGTAATTCTAAGATCCTAGATTTCTGTTAGCAATTATTAATACTTCGAGCTCTTGAGATTAATTTTATTTTTCTTTGTTATTTTTCCAATAAATAATCACGTTATTCTTGCAGAAAGGAGGTCAACGACGTCTCTAAATTTCTCCTGTTCGAAATGAAACTTCCATGAGCTCCGTGGGAAAAAGTTGCTTCATTACCAGGGCTAGGAAACGCGGCGATATCGGAGCGGAAGCTTCAACTTCCATCTAGGTTCCGGCTTATTGGTGAGTACTTGGAGATTGATGTACTTTTTGCTTCTGCTCGATGCGAAACGCGTCGTAACACATCGTCGATATACATCGTCGGTCACGAACCAAGTTGTAAATTTCGTGGGACACGATTCGATCTCGAAGGGACGATTTTAATACAGTGGAGAAATTCGAATCGTTGTTACAAAGAAAGGCGGAACGGGGCCGACTCGAGTAATTTCAATTCAACACCTCCGGAACACGAATTCCCTGTTGCGTTTCGAGCCAAGCAGGTTGCCTCGTTAACGTCCGTGTCCTGGCTATCGATGGAATGCAAATGTGTGCATATCCGTGGCGCATTTTCAAGTGAAATTATCGTAGGTGACAACACAAGAAGGGCGACTAGACGACAGATGGTTGTCGAGAGAGTCACCTAGAATCGAGTCGCCTACCGCGTTCGATTGTTCTCCATCTGGCACGCGTTTTGGGGACCAAAAGTGTTGCTTCGTTTATTAAGTTTTTTACTCTTAATTTTGTAAATAATTTCCTTCGTTCGCGGTATTAACTGATCTAACCTTTATACTCGATACTTTTCTAATTATACGAGAACGAGTATAGAACGTTTGATCCGAACGCGAAAGATAAAGATAGGATCCTCGAGGTATGTTTCGGAAGTTTTACGTCCGGTCAATCAATGCAATTTTCAACGTATTTACCCTTTTCGATATTATTTGTAGGATGCATTAGTTGCGATAATAAGTAGAATAAGACACGACGAGGGACGATATAATTTTAAAACCTGATAAAATTTATTTGCTCGTTACTCGTTTATTTACTTTATCCGTTTCAATACGAGCAAACGATAAGCCAAATGAATTACGTAAAATGATTGTTTGGCACGCAGTGCACCGCCACGTTCAACTACATAACGGTAATTTAATGACCGAAGCGACGACGACTCTTCTCTTTGACTTTCGCACTCGCGTCCAGCTATCGCGAAAGAACGATGGAAAAGAAAGACTTTCGCGCGAATATGGACTCACGCTTGCTCCGATCGAAAAGAAGAAATATCAGTTATGCGATGTTAATAACGAAGATATAACGATATAGCGATGTAGCGATACAACGCGGTAATTCCTTTATCCTGAAAAAACGATTTACACGACGATAACGAGCGGTAAAATCGTCGAGTACGAGTGGTTTATCTTAATTTTATGCAACAGTAATCCCGATACGAAGCGATAATTATCAGCCGGACAAAACGAAAGTAACGATAAGGGACAAGGGATTTAGCGGCACAAGCTAAGATAGAAAACGCGTTCTCGCAAAATATAGGCGCGATCTGACGCGATTGTCGTCGACTATTTTATTCGATGATGTTCGAATTTCTCATTACTCTATTCGATAATTAAATTCGAGCAACTCGGCGATGCTCGCAGATACATTATAGACGATCTAATTCGCGTCGATTAATAAAATGACCCTCCTCTTGCATGATTAATTTCGACAAGATGCGACGACGACGAGAGAGATTTGGCGTAAGAAAAGAGAATGAAAAAGAAGAATGCAACGAAGGAACACAGAATGGTAGAGAAAGAGAGAAGGATAAAAAAAAAAAGAAAAAATGAAAGAATCATTGGCCGAGATAATGGTCGCGAGGAGCATCGAGAAACTCGTTTCGCGGCAAAGAGAGCAGGTGGCAAGAGGCGGTGGGGCGCTGTGTTATACGTACTGTTCTTCTTCTTCTGGCCGATCGAGGTCTTGGGCGGCGAGGAGGACGGCGGTCCATTGTGAATCGGAGGCTGATGCGGATGCACAGGGTAGATGG